TTAACCTTTTTCTATGTGCTTGAGTTCCTTCCATTCTACAGATAGTTAAACTTTATACTTGCCCTGATTATTAGTAAGTGCACTCATCACTTAGATGACTTCATGCGATTTCTCTGGGGATCCTTATCTCTCTTAACTTCAGGTCCTTCTATTAGTAATAAGAAATTGGAGTATTTCTCTGTGTTCTTTTATACTACATAGCACCTGCTAATGGATATGGTAAATATGAACTATGCTGCAGGCATTTTGCACACCATATTCTTCCATAGAACCCTCAGCCTGGTTCGCCCCAAAGATGTTGACTGTGATTTCCTTGAGATCACTTATGTGAGTATTTCCCTGCATTAAGATCTGGGTTTGTTTCCATGGTCAAGGCATACGGTGTTGTGCTTTTAGTAATTATATTTATATATTTACTACTTTCATTTGAAAATTATTGATGCTTTTGCTTTTCACAGGCTCCCAACTGCAATTTTCACCACTACTTATATTCACAATACATGGTTCTAAAGCCAGATTTTGTTTCAAGAGAAAATGTAACCTATATTCCTCAGTGACAACTTTTCCAAAGACCCAATAATTGAGTGTTCTAAAGTTAGTAACTTACAAGAAGATGCGACCCAGGATTATTTAAGAACATGTCTGGAACCCAAATCTGTGACTAGAGTGTTTACTGGCATTTCACATATTATACGACTGTCTAGCGGTTAGCCATTAGCCATGGTTCAGTATTACTGTTACTAATATTGAGATTAGACCTGGAAGTGGATTAGCATCTGCATCCAATCAACCCAGTTCAAAAGGAATCCAACTAGTGAGGCATGCATCCAATCCAAACCGTTGTCATGCACAGAAAATCCAGTTCAGTACCTCGTCAATCCAAATCCAATCCAATCGTCCAAATACTTCCGTCCCCGAGGTACTTACCGTTCCAGCAGCCTGTTCCAGCTTGCCGGCATCACCGACCTTGTTCAACATCTCCGGGGACGGAGGCAGAGAAGCAGTGGGACGCCATCATGGACGTGCTCGCCATGGTGCTCGCGCAGCCTAACCAGGTGGTGTTCCAGTCCCAGACGATCCTCGCTGCACAAGCAGAGGCCAACAGCACCCGGGGCCACAAGCCAACGATGATTTAAGCCGGAGCGCGTCGACGCTGTACGCGGCAAAGGCGGCCAAGGTATGCATACGTGATCTGGCAAGCTGGAGAAGCATATCACCACGCACTTATTAGGCGGCAGGCATCGCTGCAGTAGCAGGAACAGCTGGAGGAAGACGACGCCACGAGCAACTGCTGGAAGCTGGAGATGCCACGGTGGAGGTGCTGCCGCCCACCTGGCAGAGGCACCGGGAGGAGAGGGGAGAGGTCCATGATATCCAGCTCTTTCTATCCAAACCAATCCAATGCGTTTGGATCTCATGGAAAGAATGTCCAGGTCCAAACAACATCCATCCAATTAAATCCAAAGTGGGTTGAATCCATTTAGATTTTGGATGATCCAAATCCATTGTCAGGTCTAATTGAGATCTCCTTTTCGGTAGACCGGAATCAAAAGGAGTTAACTGATTTTAATGTGTAGTTGTGAAGTTTAGAATCAACAGAGACAAGTGATCAACAGATTAATATGTGCTGTGGGCAGCAACTCATGTTTTGTGTGTTAGAAATCCAAAGATTACTCAAGCAGGCGGCGCTGCTCTCTCTCCCGCGCCCTTTGGTACACGCTGGTCCATCCTCCATCGCTGCGGGCACGGAACCCTTGCGTTAGCGAGCACAAGGGAAAGGAAGAGAAGAGGCAGTAGATAGAAGAGTTCTCTAGAAGGAATGATGCATAACCATGATTTACATCTTGGGAGGGAGAGAAGCGCACGGGAGGGGGCGTTGCGTGTACGCAGGTGGGTAAAAAATTATTCGGTGAAAAAAGACGGTCTGGGGAGGGCTGCAGGAACGCATAAGACTCAATGGTGACTGTAAGCGCGTTGATGGCCCAGGCCCACTGACAGATTTAGAGATACAATTGACCCGAGGGTTCTAATATAGAGTGGGTAAAAAACTTTTGGGTAAGATGTATTTTCAATTTTTTTCGCTCTTTTATATTATAGATAGATAGATACACTATAGCATTTCAACAAGCGTTTCAGCAAGTTGCTTTCTCTGTATCAGTTTCCAACTTAACCACGATGACAGATGTATTGTCCAAATATGAAATATGATTACCTTGCTTGTTGCAGTCTAATAACTTTCTTTCATTTGCATTTTCTTTGCCACTGCTTACTTCGATGTTTTCATGTGTTTAGGTACAATGTGGTCTACTGGAACTCGAAAAGGAAGTTGATGAAAAGATAGACCAGTTCACTGCTTGGGTGGAGAAACACCCAAATCGCAGAAGCCAGGTCTGAACTACAACAATTAGCCATTTTGATATTATAATGCAGTTTACTTCTGTTGCTGCCAAACTATGTTATCTTTCTTCTGATTAAGATTAGTGGCTGAACTGAATATCTCAGATATGCCTCTCCTTCAACGAGAAACAGACACCCAGGTTGGTTTGTCAACAAAACAGAGCGCATTTATTGGGAGCAATGGTTCATCAATTTGCATGTCATGAGCCCAAAAAGATACAGCAAGTCAGACAGCTCCAAAGGGCTGACAAACATCGGATGTAATTTAGAGCCTGTTTGGCATGACTCCAACTCTGGGTAGAGCTGCTCCACTCCAGAACTTCTGGTGGAGTCAGCTCTGGGTGGAGTTGGAGTTGTCTGATGGAGGTGTTTGGCTGGGAGGGTGTTCCCAGCTCCAGAAAAGAGGAGTTTAAGGGTAGATTGCCATTGTTGCCCCTGGTTCGATTTGAACTACTTCTCACAAATATGAAATGAAAGTAAATGCAGTGAAGTACTACTGTTGTACTATGCCAAGAAGATTTTAGAAGGCACACTTTCGTTTGACTGTCATCGATCTGTGGCAACTACCGTGAAAAATGAAGAGGGTAGCTGCTGCACTAGCTGATTGGTGAAAAGATCTGTGGCAACTACCGTGAAAGTACATGAACTAGCTGATTGGTGAAGTTGGCGGCCGGTTCAGAGTGGCAGAGCAGTATTGCATTGCATTTGCATTCGGAATTTCAGATTTCGATTCAAAATTGAACAGAACAAGGCAGTTCAGCAAATGGTTGCAATGATTGATCTGAGTACACATAGATCCAAAATAAGTTCATAGTTCCAAAATAAGGTCGTTACAATAATCATTGCACTAATTCCATGCTAGGGCGATGGATGTAGCCATATTATCACGAAATGTGTCTATAGTCACAAAGCTTGATTCCGAAGTTGATCCATCGGAGGCATGTTGAGACACGACATACTTGTTGTACCTTTCTGGAATAGTAGGCATGAAGGTAGGATCTCTATCAAAATTAGCAAAGTCCACATCAACACTAGCATGTTCACGTATGAAATTGTGTAGGACCATGGTAGCAGCAACAATCTTCTTTTGTGTGACCATTGAATAACCGGGCATCTTGTAAAGGATTTGCCATTTCATTTTTAATACTCCAAATGAGCGCTCAATAACATTACGAACAGATGAGTGTATACGGTTGAACTTCTCTTTTGGAGTATTTGGTTCCATACCTCGATGCCACTCGGGTAAGTGGTATCTTTCACCCTTGTATGGAGCTAGGTACTCCGGACGATTAGGATAGTCCGCATCTACAATATAGTACTTGCCTACACATATGTAAAACAAGATAAGTTTGTGCATATAAATATGAAAAAGAACGTAAGCCAAATATTTACCTTGAGGTGGATGTGGGAAGACATCTACATCTGCTTCCAATGCATGGTACAATACACTAGTGTCATGCAAAGAACCCGGTTGACCCGCAGCCACATACGTGAAGCGCATATCAAAATCACAAACGGCAAGCACATTTTGAGTTGCAATTCCAGTCTTACCAATATATCTCACTTGTTCTTCAGGTGATAAAAACACACGAACATGGGTTCCATCAAGTGCACCAATGCAATCCTTAAAATGTGGATATGCTCTCTTGTCATTCCTAATCCTCTTGTGCACATTGCGGAAATTAGGATATGTTGGTCTCAAGAAATCTTGTGCCATGGCAACCACACAGTCTAGAACTTCATGAAATTTTCTACTAATGGTTTCACCTGAGTGTTTGAACTTATTTTGTCCTCTTCTATTTGACTCACACCCACCACATGTGAATAGGAAAATGGCCAACATCTCATATGTATTAATGTGTTTCGATGGTTTTAATCCGTACCTCTCAACCAACACATCATGAAGATCATGAAAAATAACCTCATTCATCCGAAGCATTCGATGACACTCCCCTGGAGTGTTAACCGTCTCCATCAGCCATCCCATTCCACTTTGTTGTGAAAACATAAACCTCGGCGGTGCCTTGTCCATATACAATTCATGATAACTTTGTGCTAGTTTTGCACTGCTCTCAACCATTTTAAAAAAAATTCCCCATCACTAGAATCATCAGACTCACATCTGTGAACATTGACATAAATGAAATGTAAGATACAACTGCCATACAACTGCAAGAAAATGAACTTCAAGACATCTGTGAACATTGACATAAATGAAAATGAACTACAGAAAGCTTTTTACTTGTCATATAGAACTGCCATACAGAACTACACAAATATGAACTGCAAGAACTTGAAGACATCTGTGAACATTGACATAAATGAAAATGAACTACAGAAAGCTTTTTACTTGTCATACAGAACTGCCATACAGAACTACAACTGCCATATAGAAAAATGAACTACAACTTTCATCGATGGGGAATTTTCTGTATGAACTACACAAATGAACTACAACTGCCATTGATGGGGAATTTTTCTCAGAGGATACAGAACATAGCATGTGAAGCGCCATACTGAAAAAATAGAATGTAGCATACAAGCGCCATATCTTTGCTTCTCGCCATACTGTAATCGCCATATGGAAAATCTCACTACTATTTCTACTTGTCATATTTATCATTGTACTTCCTCCTAAGCCAAGTGAACCTAATCTCATTAGTAGGCAAGGTCATGAACATCTCCCTTTGCTCCTTCTTCACAAACAGTTCAGTTGCAATGTAATGTTCATTGCTATCATAGCCGGCCCCACAAGCAATCACAACCTCCATCACTTCATCAATAGAGTATTTTCCATGTCTCTTCGAAACATATTCATTGGCTGAACTTGTCATACTGTTTACTGCTTCTTGAATTAGGAGTGCATTTCCGGACTTCGCCTTCTTGCCACTTTTTTTTTCAACAGGCCTAGCCAATCTCTTGCCACTTGCAGGTGGAGGAGAAATACCAATATCCTCCTCTTGTGTTTCAGGACTGACATCATCATCTTGTGGATCAAAATTGGTTGCCTCCTCTTGTGTCTCATCAACATTTTCAACATTCACAACATGAGCGGACCAATGATCAATACCAATAGTAGTGATGTCAAGAAAACACTTGGCTAAGTCATCTTCATTCTCAAGGCCCTTCTTTTTTGAACTTTCCACAACCCTTTAATGTCCTCAAATAAGCGAGAACAACACATATTATTATAAAGTATTACCAACAGATTTGTCATATGGAAAACAAATATAGCAAAAATCTTGAACCAACTTACAGCTCTAGTTTTTTTCCACCATTCATCATCCATAGCAATAGTCTTCTTTATAGGATCCCAACCAGTCCCTCGTTTGCCTCAAAGATTAGTTTCTTCCATGCCTTGAAATCTTTCTTCAACTTGTCCCATTTGTTCTTGATCCGAACCTTGGTAGCCACAATTCCAGTCCTTTCTTTGAACCCTTTCTCAACCTCAAGATAACCAAGTGCATTCAAGTGTGTGTTTTGGCCGATTTCCTTTTTCAACTTGTTCGACAAACAACATACACAAGATTTCGAGTGTTCTCCGAGTTCCAATCAATTTCGAGCATCTATCGAACTCACAAATTTTATATTAGACTCTAATCTATCCAACAGTGATGCCATGATGGGCAATAGAACTTTCACTTCAAACAATTTCATGACGGACAACCAACTTATGGTATATAAATGATGAAAAAAACAGTTTGTATGTAAACAAGAGAGTACTCCATTAGGTACAGATATCATTATAATGCGATTAGGTAAATGCGTGATGGAAGGATGGAATTTCATCATTGCCGAATGACACTTCCCGTTCCCCTACTAGGTGAGGTCAACCGTGAACCACAAAGATGTGTTTCAACTTTCAATTCCCCCAACAACCTAAAGGACTATTTTAACTTGTAGCCAAATCAAGAACAAATCTATCTTCTCGAGCAGAACCGGTCCTAGACTCCGATTTCCATGGCTAGGCGTATCCATTCAAGTTTTAGAAACAATTCCTAGGAGATTCGGAGACCTGGCTAGGCGTATCCATTCAAGTTTCAGAAACGAAGACTCTGATTTCCATGGCTACCACTACCAGCAAACAAAAAAGGCCGCCCCTCACCCCGAGCAGAACCGGTCCCAGACGGGAGGGGGAGGGGGCGCGGCCGCGGTGAGAAGACGGAGGAGTTACCTTGGATCTGGATCGAGGTGGGCTCAGCGGGGGAGGTCCGGTAGCCACAGGCGAGGTGAGGGGGCGGTGGCAGCGGACGGGGTCGCCTAGTCACGAGGAAGCCACGCGTACGCTTGCTGGGGACGGCGGGGGGCTTCACGTCGCCCTCTTCTCCTTCTTCTTCGGCAGAGATGGAGGCGTCCTTCTTCCCCTTCTCCTCTAGGGTTAGGGTTGGGGATGGAGGAGACCTTCTTCTCTTCTCCACTAGGGAAAAGGTGGGGGATGGAGTAGAGGGGGAAGAGAGGCGGGGAAGGGGAGGGGAGGGGCGCCAGCCGGCGATGGCGTCGCTGGGCCGTGGCCGGCGGAGGGCGCGCCGCCCAACAAGGCAGTCGCCTGGCCACGCCTGGATTCATGGAGAGAGAGAGAGGGGGGGGTTGGCACGCCACGCAGGTGTGGGAGGCGAGCAAATAGAAAGAAAAACGGTTCGAGTTGTGTAATCAAGTGGCAATTATGGGGTAATTTCACCCCAACTCCACGTCGAGATCTATTTTGGCCAGTTCTAGAGTAGGAGAAGAGGTGCTCAGAAACTCCACCTCCATTTGCACTACAACTTTATGGAGTTGGCAGCTCCATGGAGTTTTAGAGCTAGGGTGTTTGGCTGGAAAATTGGTTGGAGTTGCTAGAGTTCAGCTCCAGAGCCATGCCAAATAGGGCCTTAGTTAACTAAAGTTTCATGTCAGAGTGGGCATTCGGTTTAAACCGACGAATCGGTTCGGTTTGTTCGGTTGCTGTAAACTTCGGTTTCCACAGATCAACAACCGATTGGTTTGCCATAGAATAAAAAACCGACGAGTTCGGTGTTGGTTTCATCGGTTCGGTTTTTTGGTTCCACCGAACCAACCGAGGCGAGCACAGAGGAACAAATTAACAGAGAGAACGGAGAACGGGAGAAGAACAAATCGACAAGGAAAGGTCGCAGATGTCGCACGCTCCGCTGCCCGCATCGGCGAAATCTCGCCGGCGCTCTCGGCCGAGCTCCGAGCTCTTCGATTCGCCTCCAGTGCCGCCGCCACCAGCAGCGCCGCTACGCACGCCCACCGATTCGCCTAGCCTAGCGAAATACCATTGTCGGCCTCGATCGCCGATTCACCGAAGCCGCCACACCGCCACGTGCCACCGCCCACTCGCCGATGCAAGACGCGCCGCCATGGCATTTCTTCTGCCGGAGCCGATCGCGCTGGTTTCCCAGCCGCGGCCCGCCGCCCGCAAGCGCACCGACCGGCCGCAGTAGCCGCCGCAGCTAGGATGCGAGCAGGCCGCCGCTGGGAAGTGCGCGGCCCACCGCCGTTGTGCGCGCGGTCACGCCTTGCGCGAGCTCCCGCCGCCACTGTGCCGCTGGGAGCCTGGGATTGGGATGGGATACAGGATAGGTAGGATTAGGGTCTGGTGGTCTGGTGGGTGACTGGGTGGAGTATTTATTTGGGGCGCTAGTTGGGCCGAAGGATAGAAGGGAGGGCGTCAGCGATTGTTTCTGGCTTTCTGCGATTCAGGCATCCTACGATGCAAACCTCGGTTGTTCGGTTCGGTTCGACGCAGGAACCGAAGCCAACACCGATCACCGAACTGTCTGAAAGCAGAAACCGAAACCGAACCGAAAAACCGAAAAACCGAGAATTCGGTTCGGTTTCGGTTCAGTTCGGTGTTCGGTTTTCGGTGGAAATGTGCCCAGGCTGAGTTTCATGGCCTTCGTGAGGCTGTCATAAACATATTGAATGTAGTAGTAACATTTTGTACAATATGCTCCTAGCGAATGCCCTGGAGGAGACCAGCACAAGGCGTGCTGCATTGGAGTCGTTGATTAATGAAGTGAGTGCTATTCCAGATCATAAACTTCGCCAATGAGAAAAAGGACCACATTCCTGCCATCCCTGACAGAATTTTCAATCATGAGATCATGATCCCAAGGTGAGTCCTATATTTGATATTGGTCGGTCTGTGATAAGGCCCATCCTTAGTTAGCCCAAACAATTTTTTGTTAAGATTCTCTACATATATCTCGATCTCCAGGTGACCCCTTTTCCTTGGACGTGTTGACAGCTCGGATTCTGTATTTGGATGGAACACGGATGTCATTCCCAGAGTGCTGAATAGCGGGCACCCGTACTCACTTTAGCTGAAGACGCCAGCACGCTATTCCTTGTACATAAGGGTGTACCCTGCTCATCTGGCTTAGGGAAAACCTAGTTCTGTGTACATAATGGTGTACCCTGCTCATCAGGCTTGTAAATACTGTGTTGGGATCTTGCTCATCAGTCGAATGTTCTTAAGTTTGATTAAGTTCATAAAAACAATATCGATATTTATGCCTCCAAATATGTTTATTATATAAAAATATATTTCATGATTAAATTTAATGATAGTAATTTATTATAAAATTATATACACTATTGGGAGCTTAGGGCTTCCAATAGTTCACCAGCTGGTTTGGTAATTGAAAACTCACTCATATTACCTTAGTCATCATGGGGCTTATAGCTTCCACCTTGTTATGAGAAGTTGGAAGGCAGAACAGCTAGTCAGAGTGCTCATTCTCCCACCTTAGTTTGATCAAACCTTCCGGAGGTTTTGAGTAAGTTTTGAAAGAATCATGCTTAAGTTCTTTAGATGGCAAGTCTCTTAGTGGTGTATGAAACTCACCAAGGCCATGATGCTTAGCCTTCACATCATATTCTAAGGCACCTGTGGAGCTCATGGGTAGAGAATGAATGCAAGGCATACTTGTATTGTGCATATATCGCTAAGTCAAACACTTGGATCGATGGTACTTAATTGATATCATAAATATTAATGTTTTTTTATAGATTTTAGTAACTTAATATTGTTTGACTGTTTAAAAATAGTGAGAAACATATTCTTTTGGGAACAGAGTGAATACACCTGATTACCAAAGGTCCACAGCTAGATATGAGGGTACCTTGTTAGAGATGGACTTACAACAAATCCTTAAAGGCTGGGGGAAAGGAATAAATCTAATTTAATGGAATTTCTCCAATACAATCCTACGCTCCAAGAATCTCTATAGTAAAATTACCAATATGAATGGACTCCCCAATTCTCAGATTCAACGAGTAAATTAACGTCAACAGATTTTCTTGTTCAGGTCAGGGCGTCAGGCTAAGCCATGTACAGATATCAATCGACGCCCTTTTGTATGTTAGGAGGCATAAAAAATAAAGCCATTACTTTTAGTCCAGGTAAAAATCTCAAAGCAAGGACTTGGAGAGCTGAGAACGCCACCATATATGGTGTGGGGCAAAAGAACCAACACCCACAGGCCAGAATGAAGAGATGCATCGCGGAATGCAGAAACTGAGATCCAGGCCGTGTGCATAGGAGTATACGACCATCATTTTCACAAGCAGCCACGTGCGTTGCAAGTAAATAGGCTATCAGCACAACAACTCTAGTAGTCTTTCACACTTTGGACAAACCGCAATGGACCTCACGAAAAGCAGAAAATTTCCACAGCAGAGGAGAAGAAAAGACTTTACAAAAGAATAGCTCGCAGTGCATTCTGTCACCTAAAACACAGCAAATGCACCTTTGTAAAATAATCTAGTGGAAGATCCACTGTGTTGAACTCCATCGTTGCTGACAACGGGTTAAACCAAGCAGGTAGGCGTTCTTCAAGTTGCATGTAACATGAAACCAGCATGCATCGATTTTTGTCCCAACCAATATCCCAAATCTCCTTCGATCTGGATGTGACTGAGTTACTTACATGATTATACAGTTGCACTTGGACTCCAGCTTTGGAGGTTTCATATTATCAGAATTCCTTGCAATACCCGATGCAGAACATACAGGGGGGGAGTCTTTCGCAACAGCATCTTTCTCTGTAGTTTCCGTTGTAGTTGTTTCACCTTCCAATCTTTTCCTTTTGACCTTACGATTTGGAGTTCGCTCTGTGAGGCAGCTTTGGTAAACTCTCTTCCTTAGGAAAAGATCCTCCGACTATTGTAACAGTTGGGCTAATAGAGTCGACAAACTCTGATTCCTTCTTGTTTTCCAATGCAATAGTCGCAGCCTTGTATGCAAGGTCATGGACAATAGAACTACAGAAGAGAATTGTATCAGCAGCCTCTTCCAATGTGAAGCATCTCTGGATTTGTTTCCTTGATCCTTCTACTTCCACACAAAATTCTTCTACAATTCAGAGAAAAATATTGTGTCAAATACTTATATATTCTTTTTTTAAGAGGAGCAGGAAGGGTGGAACCCCTACTGCAAATAAGTATCAAATACTTATATATTCACCTATATTCATCAAAGGATACAAATAATTTCATTGATTATGAGAAGAAAATAGAAGGCATGCATATCTTTGAAGATACATCAGGGCTAGCAATTTAAGATGATAAATCAACCAAAAAATCCCTGCAAATTTTTTCTACTATGCTGCAGTGTGCACAAGAACAGTATTCTCTCCGTTCCAAATTATAAGACGTTTCGGTTTTTCTAGAGACATTGTTTTAACTATGTATCTAGATATAGTGTGTATCTAAGTGAATAGCAAATCTATGTATGTAGAAAAGCCAAAACGTCTTATAATTTGAAATGGAGGGAGTAGAATGGTTTATTAAACAATCATCAAGATGTTCTTTGAAACCAAACACTTGGAAATTACCCACCCCTCTTGTAAATTTCACACATCAAAGGTATTTTTATGCATGGCCCCTTCAAATAATTAACACACCTAATTGGACTGACTGCTTAATCATAGAATTATAGGCATGTTTGGTTGCATATCCCGGGTGGCCTGACCAAATATTGGAAGTGGACAAAGTTGGACAGTGCAAAATTTTGGCAAAAAATGATATGTTTGTTTCATGGCCAAGCCAAAGTAGCCTAATTTTCCTGTCAAACCAAGAACATCACATGTGGGGCCTATGTCATAAGTATTTTTTAATCAACTATAGGGAAAATAGGTCTTATTTTATCAGATTAATTATACGGAATACAATACAAAATACTTCAAAAAGATTTGCAATGAGATACTTGGTTTAGCAAATATTGTGATCTGAACATTGATAATGCAGCAATCAATGCAATTTTTGGAACCAGCAACCAGCTGACACTTCAGCTTGTGCTTAACAGTGTTGCCAAGCCAAAATGTGGCACAAAAATCAGCCACCCTGGAATCTTCTGCGCCTTGCTGCTTACTCTACACGGCGTGGCCATAATTTCCTTGGCTCAGACAAACTGGACCCTAAACTGTTTTTTTAGGGATGCTTGGATGTGTTATAACTCTCTTCTTTTAATGCAATGATACGCAACTCTCCTATGTGTTCGAGAAAAAAAATGCAAGCCAGATAACCTAGGCAGCGACAAAATTTAGCTCGGCACTAAAGGACATGAACCAAACAGACCCATGTCCACCCTGGATTTTCTTTTATTTGGTCCAAAGAATAAATCATGTCCACAAAAGATCTGTTATATACATACAACAGCTAATTCCAGACCAGAAAAACTATATACCAGACAAGACAAATAGAGGACCAATGCATGACTCAAGCAAGTAATATATATACATGAGCTTTGAGATAGGCACAACTCATAACTCTTGTAGGTGAAAAAAAGAATACAGAAATCCGTACCATCATTGGGAAGTTTCCTCATGTCAGCTTCTTGTCCAGAAATCAACACGTCCTCCTCGGAGATGGCAGACATGTAACAATCATCCAATCTGTTTTCCTCAGCTGAACCCTGAACTATTTCGGACTGCAATTGAATATCATCAAAGTTGTTCTCATCACTTGAATGTTCGGGAGCACTACCTTTATTGCACTGACTGATGGCATAAGTATCCTCTTCAGTTTCAGGCATGCAACTTTCCTCTGGGCCTGATGACTCTCGGGTATCACTTGGCATTTCAGTATCTAAAGAATACATATTTGTACTGGTATGATCCATGTCAGGCATTCTGCCAGCACTATGATTCTCAACTGTTGTATCTCCTACCTCACTTTTCAAGTCAACGGGACTGTCATCATCGGCAATAACCTGTGAAGAAGACGAATATTCCATAGCACTTGGCAAAGCATCCTTACAAAAAGCATCATTTTCTTCAGAAGAGATCAATGTTCTTGAAGTGCTGCTTTCCAAAGTGTCAATTGGGAAACAGGAACCTCCTACTGCATCACTCTGAGGGCAAAGTGAAGCTGAAGAGCTACAAATTGACATATCTGACACAGAAGCAATGCTTTGACGACTCATAGTACTGCTTATCTGAGACTTCTCAAAGTCACCCCTCTTACCACTCCTAAGGCGCTCAAAACATATGGTTGATTGCCTCGAAGACCCAAGATCACTGGAAGAAGCAGCTGAAGAGCTGTCCAGTCCAAAGCTACGCTTCATCATACTGACACCATCTCTTGCATAATAGGGTTCTGAACAGAGAATACTTGTAGCAGCCAGGGCCCTCCCTTCTACAACAGGCCATTTATTGCTGTTTGACTTAGGGACTAACAGTACTGATATCCCAGTACCCTCAGTAGTTTCAAGTTTAGGGTTTTGATATGTAGTTGATCCCAATTGAGAAGAATTGTCACTGGTCATAGTTTCAGAGACAGTTTCATTACATTGGGACAATCCATGATTATGGTTATCCATTTGGTCTCTGATGAAAAGGTCATGCCCCACAGATGTTGGTTTTGTTTCTTCACATTCAGTCACACTAGATCGATGAAAGGAAATATCGTTTGTATTTCCTAATGAGTCCCCAACATGTTTCTTTCTATGCTCTGCGTCTATCTTTTCCACCTGCCCCAGTAGCATTTCCTGAGGTGTGTGCCCCATTGAGTGAATTGGAGGGGCCTGATCCAGGCAATCAGTGTAAGATTCACTGTTCACTAGTTGATGATCAAGAGACACTTCTTTGCTATAGCCTATACAATCTGTGGGTATGGGAGGATCAGATGCGATGCAAGGTTTCAATTTTGCAGTTTTATCATATTGCTGGTTTTCTTCTCCAATAGTTTGTACAGTAGAACTGGTGAAGATATTCCCAACCTTTGAAGCACATACATCACAGTAGACACCCTCTTCATCCACATCCATCGCATCAAATAACTTCCCACATCTAGAGCAAGTAGCAATTTTACTATTGCCAACCTGAGAACTATCAGTAGAATGGCATAAGGACTGATTAGGTCTTCTGCTTCCTTCCAAGTCTTGTCTTCCACTTACTAGATGTTTTACTATGACCAGTGAATTATCCGTAGATTCCGTGCTCTTGTAATGAATGTCTTCTTCATTTAGCTCATTCAATTTATCAAACATAAATATATCCTCATGACCCCGAGAACTATCATCTTCTTCCCATTCACCAACCAAATCACGTTGCTCTTGGCTGCCAGGCGTATAAGAGCCAAAAGTGGCACCATGGTAAGAGCTTGCATTGCTGCTAGTTGTCAAAGAGGAATTGTGTGAGAACATAGGTTTGTGCACATCAATTCCATTCCCAGCCCCAAATGTGCTGGCAGGGGCACCTGATAGAAGTGGTCGGAACCTATCTTGTGGAGCTTTGCGGTGATCCTGGGAAGAAAGACCATCACATCTTAGTTTCATGTTTCGGCTTTAGAAAATCTACAATAAACAGAAGTATGGTCTTCATTTGCTGAAAAAGTACGCCCACAACATTGTTCAAATAAAACTATACAACAATGTGCTATATAAAAATAGTTCTCAGTAGCGGTAAGAAATGAATCATTTGCATAAGGTGCCAACTAGTATCTTGAGTAGAAAAAATGCACCAATTGACCAAGATCAACACGAGAAAATTAATGTATGCTAAGTGTCAATCTACCAAATCAACTGCTAATTACACAATACAAGAGATGCTTGCAAGACATGGGAAAATACTCTATTATTATAACATAAAAAGCAGAGAAATGCTTACCATCAACCAAAGTGCAGAGTCAAATGACCGCTTCGGGACAGAACTAGGTGTGAAATTTTTGGACAGATTCTTTGATGATGCAATGGTTCTGGTTTTCATCACAACCAAGCTCTTTTTCACAACTGGGCTACTGGAGTAGCTAATTGGTACAGACTGCATAGAATCCAGATCATCCTCACCAGATGATGTTGCAGAAGCTTTGCTGTAAGAGCTCATTCGGTCCCGTTCAATGCTGTGAGACGAATTGGCTCTTCTAGATGGAGTGGGAGACATTGACTGTCTTCTACCTCTTGAACCATTTTCTAGTCCACTAAAAGATGAAGGTGATCCACACCTTGACCGGCATACTGGACGATCAGTTAGAGATGTCTACGAAGGTTTGAAGGCGCATCGAAAGGGAAACCAGGAACATTTGATTGCCATCCATGCAGCTTTGGTGAAGAAGATCTGCGATTAGGTTTCACTGGTGAAGCTCCTCTTGTTCCATTCAAAGTTGGACCACTTGAACCAGTACTCATCCTTCTTGAGACAGGACTTGGAGACCTTCGAGGAGGTGTTAATGTCTTAGCAATCGGAGGGGTTGACGATCTTCGTGATGGCGTTTGTGATTGAACAGCAAGTGGTGGGCTAGAGCGAGAAGCTGAACTAGATGATCTTGTCCTTCCCATAGAGCGTGGCGATGGGCTAAGCCTACTTGGGCTTGCACTGCTTCTACTAGCTCTTTGACTATTATCCATCTGTATATGAATAGAACACAATATATTTGATACGTAATGGATGCAACCTAATATAGTTCTTGGAATAAACCCCTCTGGACATGAGCACTCACCGTGGATGATCTTGAAATTTGTATAGGCTTGCTCTGAGCTCTGCCCCTAGAAACCTGAGTGATGGATTGGTTTTCTTCGTCATCCAAAGATCGAAAAAGTGGAGTTTCTGGAGGAGTTAATAACCTGATAATTGGAAAATTTAATGGAGGTCAAGTCATTACCCAGCACCAAGATATAAACACTTACATAGAAGTGCAAGCATAGGAAGTATTATTAAGTTCAGAACCACCAATTACATTTATTTTTTTCTGTAAGATAAATCAAATAGCCATTTAGACATAGAGTTATGCTACTAATAATTCTTCTGAGCAATGATCCTCCAATAACAAGAGTGAATTAATGGTTAGCATCATACATTCATACCATCCGTACAACAAAAGTAGCCAGTAGGTCACCATATCATTTTTAACATTCTTCAAACATGAAAGGTGCATTTGGCATTTTTTTCAATGATATTCCATGTTTTAAGCGATGAAAACATTCTAGTTGTTATGAACTAAGAACGTCAGAACATCAAATGTAATGCTTACGAAAGGGTTATTGGCTAACTCATACTATCATAATATGGAATCACTTCATATCAAGATTGAACAGCATTAAAAATCCTAGTCTTAACTGGCAGTCATCAAGAGTGCTTAGTGATAAGAAACAGAAATACAAGATAACAATGTGAATATTTTTATAAATATTTGAAGATTCGACGCTGTTCCTTTCAATGTAACATAGGATTGAAACAGGACTACAGAATAACCACGTGTCCACGTGAGCTCTTTTTTAACGAAGCAACAACCTTACAAGTTGTGGCCGAAATTCAGACAAAAATCTACACAGAATTACCAGATTTGTAAGAACTGACCATGCAACATGCTAAACAAGTTAAACAAAAACAGGCACCACTCATGAAGGAAACAAGAACTCAATCCATAATATTTAAATATCAACAAAGCAAACGTTACATTACAATGTACGATGCAAGGAAGGTGCTTCATAAGGTAAGCAAATCAAGGCTACAGCAACTATCTACCATTTCAAACAAGACATATAAAATGTACAATCAAGTTTGCATACCACTCATAATCATTTTTATCACCGTCCGCATTAAGCAAATCATGGCTTTCTCCATGGGCAGGAATGTTAACACCAAGTTTTACTTCCGGGAAATAGCTCAATTTTGCTGATGGATGGAAAGAAATAACTTAAAAATGGTAAGTAACCAAAAAAAATAACACTATGGGACTGTATAAAGAGGGACAAAGATGAAATTTACAAGCATTACCGATTGAGTCATCAAAATCCTCTGACGGTTCCAGTAAGAAGTTCTCCGTCTCAACTTTCTGCATATCAGAGAACAAAGCGAGTTCGTCATCCTTTGATTTCACAGGAAGCACATTTCCGAAACTGTTGGCCCTCTTGTGATAAGTCTCCCGTGCAGGAGACCTTGATCTCCTCAGTAAGGGTGACGGTGGCATTTTTCCTGGCCTCTTAAGCCTGGTACCCTTCTTTCAGAGACAGTAGAATGCAGTCAGAGCCCATCTGGAACATATACCATGGCCTACAATATATGGTAGTGTTAATAAAGAACTGAACAGGTCCAAATTGCACCAACTTATCATAACTTTTAAATGTGTACAAAAACAAAGGATAAGGTATGAAAATGGCAAATATATGAAAAGAAATACAGCATCACTCTCATCATGCATTACAAAAAAAAAAAAAAACCAATCCAGCGTGCCACCATCAGAAATAGCCCACCCAATTGCACCCTTACAGAGCAATCATACCAATACATTCATAGAAAGTAATAAAAGAAAATACACCAACAAAAGAAGGCCACGGAAAGGCACAAAGTTGAAGCTACCATTATTTCTACCACTTGAAGTACGGAAACTGCCAAATCCATCACATCTGGATGAAAACACGTACCAACTAGCAGAATTTGCTAACGCAATGAGGTATTCCTGGCGTCTGAATTTGCTATTTTACAATCCACTGCACATCTTATTGCATCAAATGAAATATTGCATAAAAAAGTCAAATAGTAAGTCTTCAAAAGAGTCAGCAACAATCAACCAATTGATTGGAAAGTTCCCAAAGTCACTTATGGACAACAAAAATATCTCTAGAAAACCTAAAAGTTCATATTCAATTGAACTATCAAGCACGCTCACCTCATCCCGTGTTAGAGCTAAATCACCAGGCATTCAGGAAATTTGGAGGGAATAACATTTCGGATAAATCAGCATGATAACAAATCGAAATTAGACCTAGCAACAAATCGGACAGCACAAATTGAGCCCAAACTCGACCTTGCAACATCTCTATTTGCCACCCCAAAGATAAATTTGCATCAGTCACATCACAAAAATACAGCTCCCCAATAGCAAAGCAACATAAAGGGAGCAGAATTGAAGCAACCCAAGAGTAAAAGAAAGAACACATGAGATCGGTGGTGATTGAGCAACCAATTTCTACATATCAAAACCTGCACCAAGAACCGGGCAATGATTGGGCCACATCGCCCATAGTTCTCTGGCCATCGGATGCTTACCAGTGTGAGATCGAGCTGTCCATCCAATGCTAAGGCTTCTGGAATGAGCTATAGCGCCTGCACGGCTACATCGGCCAGCCTATCCAGTCGTCCTCGTACCATTAGAACTCCTCATTTAAGATGGAAGCTGAGGTACTTCAAGATACTAAATTGTTTTACCATTAACGCAAACATGATAGACGAACTTATTCACCTGAGAGAGAACATGGTATCACATTATAACACTAGATATGGCACATTGGTGCTACTCACCACGCTTGAATTCTACGGCCGACAACCTGAGATCTAAGAGGAACTGCACACTGCAGCGCTTGGTGGCAGGCTGGCAGCTAGGGCTTAGGCCAGGCAGGTTATCATAGCATCAGGGAGCTTATGCAGTCAAGGTTCATGGTCTCACAGTGGCCTGACTCAGGAAGAAAATGCACCAAATACATTATTGGAAGCCTAAGAAAATACAGTGGCCCAGATGACCAATTTTAGTGGATTAGTCATCGCTGGCAGCAGCAAAGAGGGCAACCAGCACATAAGTGGGCTGGAGGCGCGACGCCTGTGTTTCTAGTTCAAAACCGAATCTAGACACCAGAGCAACACAACACGCGCTCAATTCTACTAGTTTCCCAAGGAACACCAGCAAGCAACGTGCTCCCAGAGCCATAAACTAGCAAATCCTGCGCCAAACAACTGTTTCGAAAACTGAGAGCAACGAATTGGACCCCGAAGCTAGCAGTACACGAATACCAACCCCCAAAATTCATCCAAAATGGCGCTAATTTGGCGAAGACCCAAATCCCATGCTCCACATTTCCCCTCCCAGGCCACCCACACAAAATTAACAACAAAATCATTCACCTCATTATAAAATGAAAAACAGGAAGGAGCTCGGGAAGCCGCATTCCACCTCATTAAAATGAAAAACAGACCACCCACCCGCATTCCACCGCCGCCTTCCGTCCGCCGGCAGTGCGCTACACCAGCGGCACCGGCCCCCGCGCCCCCGATCTCCCGCCGCGGGCGCGAGCCCCGAGGCAGATCCGGCTTCGGACCCGAGCGTGGTGGGGGGTCCCAGCCGTGCCGCGGGCGCGCTCCTCTCCTCCGCTTCCGCACTCGCGCTCGCCCTCGGCCTCGGCCTCCGGGGCTCGGATCGTCGCGCGCGCCTGGGGCGTTGCCACGGGTAGAAGCAAAGGAGCTCGGTTGCCTTGCTGCCTGCGCGCGTCGTGCGTGCGCTTCGCTGGAGGAGCAGAGAGGGGAGGCGGTGGACTGGGGAAGAAGTGGCTTTTGTTTTTTCTATTTTCGTTGGCGTTATTTCCTTTTTGGTTTATTTGGAGTTAAAGAAAGGGGAAAGATGATTAGTTGAGGATTAGGGGTGAGGTGGCATGGTATAGTGCGGGCAGGCGTTTAAATTACGGATTTGTCCCTGGAAGAGATTAAGAATTACAATGTGGGTGGGTTCCCTCACTCTCTGCTTGGTTGGACGGCCAGCAAATTTGGCATAGCCAGTATCAATTAATTCGTGTGAAGAAATGACTTGGCTTTCTTTTTGGCACTTTATTACTATTCTCTGCGTGTGCAGGCGGAGAAAAATCCGCCCGCACGCCTCTCGCTCCGCATGGCTCCTTCGTCGTCTCGTCGCACTTTATGTTCTTCCTCCTGCCGTCTCCTCACCTCGCCTGGCTCTTGCGCCACCCTCGACCCCCTCGACTCGGCTTTGGTGACGCTATCTGAGTGCTCCCGCCTCCACCACCTCCCACCACCCGTGGCAGCTCCTTCTTCCCCTCCAACATGCCGTCACGAGCTCCCATGACCTCCTTCTTCCGCAGCGAGCTCCGGCCATAGAGCTCCCCACCCCTTCTTGGCCCGGCCGCCTCCACTATCGCCAGGCCCCCTAAACCGACCTGCGGCTGTCCACACCGCCTGGCTGACCTTCATCCCTCTAAACCCCTTCTTTTCTAAGTCTGCTAGAGTTGGGGAAGAAGGGGTGGCACGGGCCATCGGAACCCTAACCACCGCCAGAGTTGGGGAAGAAGAGGGGGCGGGCGCGGGCGCGGGCAAGAGAGAAGAGAGCGCTTGCGCGAATCAGATGGCCGGGATGAGCACGAGCGCGAATCGACGATGGGTGTGGGTGTGGGCGCCGCAGCATGTGCGCACTAGGGAATAAGCATTCCGGATCTTTTTGTATAAGATTGCTTTTCTAAAAGGAAAAATCCTACTTTTACGCAAGCTCGGTAGCTTAATGAGACAAACCAGCAGGTCTTTGTTTTATTTCTTTTTTATTTTGCTATCAGCGACACTAAATTAATAAGTTAATACTCTATCTATCCAAAAAAGAATGCAACTATAATTGTGTTCGTCGGATTAGTTTAAATTTGACCAAATTTATAATAAAAATGTTAATATTTATGTCTCTAATAAGTTTATTATGCAAATATATTTCATGATTAATATAATGGTACTTATTTTGTATCATGAATGTTAGTACGTTTTCATATAACTTTAATCAAAGTTTAAACTATTTAATTTCTCGAAAAGCAAGAACTATATTCTTTTGTGGATGGAGATAGTATAAGGAGCCAAACCAAGCTTGCTTATTGAGTCAGCCTAGGTGAGTAGTCAAATGCACATAGGCCTTGTTTGGTTGATGCCATAGAAAATTTATCTGGCCTATATGATAACATCTAACCACAAGCAAGAAAATTTAGATACATGGGATTGTTGTCTGAACTAGGCAACTATTTTAGGGTCTAGCCACAACCAAAGTGGCAAGATATACTCCGGAATGTCACTACAAATTGGTTGTCTCTTTTTTGCACGAACGTGGCTTAGCACAAGTTTCATTAAAGAGAGAAAGAGAATTACACGATACAACTACGAAAGAGCCTCCATAGCATAGATTACAAACACCAAGCCATCGGTAAGCGACCTGGAACAAACCAAAGCAGCAAGAAAAAAAGTGAAAGGACCTAGGATGCCGCCTAGAGGGGGGGGGGTGAATAGGCGTTTCTGAAAATTAACACCTTTAAAAGCGGAAACAATTAGAAGGGGGAGTTTCCAAAATGGAAACTCCAAATCAAGAGTACTACCACCCCTCACAAGTTAGCCACAAAGTAAACAAGGTATAAAGAATATATCTAGAAGCTACAACCTCGCAACACCAAGTTAGAACAGAGAATAAATATTTTCAGTCAGAGACAGAAATACCGGACGTGTCCCAGATGAATACTGGACGTGTCCCAGATACACGATTTCTGCAGATCTGCCCTGAACTTGCTCCTTTCGATTTCTATCTTCAAACCAAACTGCAGGCACCTAGTGGAGATGACAATATACACAGAGAACTCCGCAGAATCAAGCTAGAGCAACACAAATATCAAATGAAATGCGAATTTAGACACGATATTTGTTTTTACAAGTTCGGACTCGTTCGAGTCCTACTCTCCGCTTGAGGGGGGCATGGCGGCGACCCAAATAAGGTCAGCCCTAGAGGGTACCACGAAGGTCACTCTAGCCGAGTCTTTTCCAACTCCTTTTCCTCCTTCCACTAATTTGATTCCGAGGCGGCTGGAATCGACTGCTTCAAACTTTCCCGAAGCAACCACAATCTCTAGGTTGCTCTCCGTGACGCCTAGCCGCCTAGGACCAAGAGTCCAAGAGTAACAAATGCGAATCACGAGATTGACAATATGCACAAGTGCTCAAGTGGTGGCTTGCTCTCTTTTTCAAATTCTCTCTTAACCCACAAATTGATTTTGTAATTTGGATCACACACTCACTAAGAGAGGGTTTAGGAGAGTTGGCAAGGCTAAAAACGTGTGTCTATCTCGGCAGAATCAAGAGCCTCCAAAGGTGGAGGCTTGGGGTATTATAGCCCCTTGAAAAACTAGCCGCTTTTATAGCCGTTGTAATCTGGGACACGTCCGGTATGCA